AGGCAGTGATTTTATTATTGTGGTGATAGATCGTTCATACAGTCCTCCTCCTCCTCAAGGTTTACCAAGCACTCCACCGACACGAGCTAACTCAGTTCCCGACACCACCTGTGAAAGAGACACCATCTCCCTTCTGCAGATGACAGAACCGGTACTCTGAGAGGTTCTGACGTGCTTGAGATCACGCGGCCCGCGGCCAGCTCACAGTTCTCCACTCTCAAATTGCAAATTGCTCCAATCCCAGCCCATGGCCCCCAGACCATCTCACCATCCAGCCCTGCCTGCCCCCACCTCCTTCTCCAACCTTGCAAACCTTGGCAGCAGCCCTGCCCATCCAAGCATCAGGCCAGCCCATGGACATTAGCCCCTTCCAGCCCTGACGCATTACTATGACCACGGCGCATCACACCAACATGATGAGAGGGAAGAGGCCAGAGGACACCTTTCCTGCTTGGCACAGAGGCGCCACCACATGGGTTAGTGTGGCCCACAGGCACACAGCTTGGCAGGTGGTATCGGGGCTGGCCAGGCCCGAGGCACAGGCTCAACTTGTACCTTCCCATAGAGCTGTGTGAGCAAAGACGACTAAACAGAGACCCTCGCTTCTGCAGGCTCCCCCTACATACTCAGAAGCCGACGGACTAAAGGCACGATGAAGGCGCTGTCAGGATTCACACAAGCACGGCGCCGCGCCCCCTTCCCTCCCATCGTGTTCCCCTCACACAGAAGGCGCAGTTGCCCCTCACCCACCCTCCCTGCCCCATGGCCGCCCGTCACTCACCGACAGCGGAGGGGTGCCCTCGTCCTCCACGGTGACCACCAGGTGGTAGAAGCTCTGGTGCTCGCGGTCGGGTGGGGCGGGCCGCGTGGTGATCTCCCCAGTGATGCGGTCCATGCGGAAGGTCATGTCGTCGTTGCCCGCGGTGATGTAGTAGGACAAAACGCTGTTGATCCCGATGTCACGGTCAGTGGCTCTCACCTGGACCACGGCAGTGCCCCCGCCCACGTTCTGGGAAGAGAACAGGAACCGGGTCACTCTGGAGTCAATGGGGCAAAGCCCAGCCCCTGCTCCGGGAGCCTAGGGGCCTCACTGGACCCCCAGAAAGCTTGGCTGTCTATGCTCTCACTTCACTGAACACAGACAACGACATCTGTAATTCTCTCCAGAGTTTTTGTTCTGTGGGAAAAGTACTTTCTGACTTATTTATGACTCCACAGTTCAGTTTCTGTTACTTGCAGCCAAACACATCTCTAAATGCTACTGGAGCGATGACCAAGATGATTCACCCTGAAGCTATGTGCCATTAAAATTATACTCTTCCCTGCGCCCCTTCAGCTAATGACACGTGACCCGTAACTGTGCCTCTGATTGGCCCACTGGGTGTGAATGGCTGAAGTGGTTAGTGCTGACACTGGGCAGCCGTGGGCTGAGATGCCCATTGGGTGCCCAGAGCCAGCTCTATTTCCTGGGCTTCAAGGCATGTGGTTCCCTAGGATTGGCCCAATGCCACCATCCTCCCATAGACACTTCAGATAAAGAGCCCAGTCAGGACCTGCTCTGACCCCACAGCCCACCGTGCCAACACCAAAGGGGAGGGGGCCTAACATAGTCACCTGTTGGGGGCAGAGGGTCAGAGCTGAGGCCTCATTTGTAACTAGGGTCCCTAGGGTGGACCGATTACAAAAATGTCCCCCTAGCCACACTCTTTGCAATGTGACATTACAGCTCATCCCTTCAAAAGATCGCTTATTTCCCCACACCTTGAATCTGAGCTGGCTCTGCAACTTGCTTTGGCCGACAGAATGTGGCCGAAGTGACCCTGTTCCAGTCCAGGCTCTGCCGTCTCTCCTGGACCCCGTCTAGCTCCACGCGACAAGCATGGGCCAGCCTCCTAGCAGAGGACAGAGAGGTAGCCCGGTTGCCTGGCCACCCCAGCTGACAGGCAACTGACCCCAGAAGCACAGCCATCCGGCCCACACTCAGCTGCCCAGCACCTGGGGGAGCACAGCTGAGAGCAGCGAATCGCCCAGCTAAGCCAGGACTAAGCTGCCAGCCTCAGAATTGGAGCGAGATCAGTGGCTGTTGCATGTCCCTCTGTTTGGCTCGGTTTGTAAGGCAGTATTGTTATTATTGTGGTGACAGATCGTTCATACAGTCCTCCTCCTCCTCAAGGTTTACCAAGCACTCCACCGACACGAGCTAATTCAGTTCCCAACACCACCTATGAAAGAGACACCATCTCCCTCCTGCAGATGACAGAACCGGTACTCCGAGAGGTTCTGACTTGCTCGAGATCACGCGGCCAGCTCACAGTTCTCCACTCTCAAATTGCAAATTGCTCCAATCCCAGCCCATGGCCCCCAGACCGTCTCACCATCCAGCCCTGCCTGCCCCCACCTCCTTCTCCAACCTTGCAAACCTTGGCAGCAGCCCTGCCCATCCAAGCATCAGGCCAGCCCATGGACATTAGCCCCTTCCAGCCCTGACGCGTTACTATGACCACGGCGCATCACACCAAGATGGGATGAGGCCAGAGGGCACCTTTCCTGCTTGGCACAGAGGCGCCACCACATGGGTTAGGGTGGCCCCACAGGCACACAGCTTGGCAAGTGGTATGGCCCCACAGGCCCACAGCTTGGCAGGTGGTATCGGGGCTGGCCAGGCCCGAGGCACAGGCTCAACTTGTACCTTCCCATAGAGCTGTGTGAGCAAAGACGACTAAACAGAGACCCTCGCTTCTGCAGGCTCCCCCTACATACTCAGAAGCCGACGGACTAAAGGCACGATGAAGGCGCTGTCAAGGATTCACGCAAGCACGGCGCCCCGTTCCCTCCCGTCGTGTTCCCCTCACACAGAAGGCGCAGTTGCCCCTCACCCCCCCTCCCTGCCCCATGGCCGCCCCTGTCACTCACCGACAGTGGAGGGGTGCCCTCGTCCTCGACGGTGACCACCAAGTGGTAGAAGCTCTGGTGCTCGCGGTCGGGTGGGGCGGGCCGCGTGGTGATCTCCCCAGTGATGCGGTCCATGCGGAAGGTCATGTCGTCGTTGCCCGCGGTGATGTAGTAGGACAAAACGCTGTTGATCCCGATGTCACGGTCAGTGGCTCTCACCTGGACCACGGCAGTGCCCCCGCCCACGTTCTGGGAAGAGAACAGGAACCGGGTCACTCTGGAGTCAATGGGGCAAAGCCCAGCCCCTGCTCCGGGAGCCTAGGGGCCTCACTGGACCCCCAGAAAGCTTGGCTGTCTATGCTGGAGCCGTGACGAGGAGGGTGAAGATGGTGTGGGCACCTACTACATGCAGGGGCCGTGCTAACGCTGTAACTTCCCCTACAACCCTACGTGTCAGGTGCTGGTGTCACTCCCATTTACAGATGAGAAAACTCTGGTGCAGGCAAGGAATGTGTGCAAGTAACACAGCGTCAGTGGCAGAACCAGGGCTGAATTGCGGGAGGCTGGCCTGAGAGCTGGCCTCGAAACCCCTATGTCATCCTGCCTTCATGAACGTCCAACCTGGCGAGATACCCAGCAATGCTGGGGAAGATATTCTCCTGGAGGGGCTCAGTCGTAGGACTGAGTAACCAGAGAGCTGGTTTATTGTAAAGCAGCTCTCGCAGGGCACACCTCCGCTCTCTGTGGGTGGGAGAGGGCCACCTCTTCTCTCCCTCTCCTCTCCTCTCTTCCTTCCACAAAGACACTCACTCAGGACCTAGCCTAGGCGTTAGGACTAGAGTTATGAATGAGCCACTGTCCCCACCCCGAGATCTGAGAGACTAGTGGGCCAGGCAGACATTTAAGCAGGTGTTGGCAGCCGGCTCATGCCCACTGTCCACCCCAGGTGTCCGTCTGTACAGGTGCTGGAGTGCCCTCACCTCGTTCACGCTGACATTATATCCGAAGGGGCTCTCGATCACTGGGGGGTTGTCATTGACGTCCAGGATGGTCACCTGCAGGATGTGGCTCTTCTTCCGTGGAGGGGTGCCCCGGTCAGATGCCACCACCTAGGAGGAAGGGGTGACTGGGGTCAGGGCTAACGGGCGGGTTAGGACCAGGAATACAGAGTCCTATCTACTAGGTGGGGAGGTTGGAAGGACAGACAGACTCCCTGGCCCATCCCTGTCCCTGGGGCTGGGGCGCCAGCTCTGGGCTCTCCCTAAGTCCGTTGCCTTCTGCCCCGTGCTGCAAACAATGCTTGCTCACCTCTTGTCTGCCCTGGGACCCTCATTTGCAATCTGACTTGGGTGTGCCTAGTCTTCACCTCCCAACCTTAGCCCTGACTGTATTCTGGGCTGTGCCAGCCCCTGACCATGACCCCAGGCCTGCAACTGGACCCAGGGTTCCTGCCTTTAGCTTCACAGGCCCCTGTTCCATGCACTTGGATCTGAACTCTGGCAAATGAGCCGCAAATAATCGCTGAGCAGCACAGACACAGACTGAACCCGTCCTGGGAGCCACGATGCTTCCTGGGTGCCTGCAGGAGTGCCCTGGGGGCTCAGGATCCTGCAGAAGCACAGCCCTGGGTCCCCAGAGACCCCTCGGGAGACATGCCAGCACAGCAACTCAGCGGTAACGGTGGCCTTCGTGACCCCTCACCTCAGCAGAGGCAGGCCAGGCAGGTGTTTTCTGCCCATTGCACAAGAGGGGAAACTGAGGCCCAGACAGTAAACCACTTGCCTGAGTTTCGCAGTGCATTTGTGGAAGAGCCCGGGCTTTGCCAGGCTTGCTCTCCCGGCTCTCACGGCCGGGACGGGAACCTCTGCTGGTCCTTCCCTGGCTCCCGAGCCCCTCCCAGGTGCCCTCTCCGGGTTGGCCTCACTCATGCTCTTGGCCCTAACGTGCCACCTGCCGCCCGGGACTTGGTGACAGCGGAGGAGCTGACTACCAGGATGTGAAGGACCAGGCGCTCTCCTGGGTGGTCAACAGCGACCTGAGGGGGCGGGTCCGCACCTTGAGGATATAGTGGTCCAGCTCTTCTCTGTCCAGGGGCCTGGCCACGAACACTTCGCCGATGGAGTCATTGGTGGTGACGATCTCAAAGGCCCCAGCGATGTTGCCCGAGGCCAGAGAGAAAACCACCTGTCAGGGAGGAGAGAGGTGAGAGGTGATGAAGCGGGTCCCAGCTTCCTGTTCGGTGAAGGGGTGGCTTGGAGGGTCTATGGGAAGCCCCTGCTGAGAGAGCTGACCCGAGCTGTTTCACTTGATGCCCACCTGCCCGTTGCTGCCGGCATCAGGGTCCTGGGCCTTGACAGTGGCCACACGCTGGCCCACGGGGCAGTCCTCTGGCACGCTGACAGCCGAGTCGGAGGTGACGTCAAACTGAGGGCTGTTGTCATTCTCGTCCAGCACAGTGATGTAGACCTGGGTGAACGTTACCAGAGACCTATCGCCTCCAGCCTCTCCCAGCCCCAAACACCAGGGGCTCACCGTGGGCCCTGGGGACCAGACCTCTACTCGGTCTGGCCCATCAGCTCGCTTTCAGAGCCCGCCTAGGCCTCTCCTGACTTCACACAAAGGCCCTGAGCACATTTTTCCTAGGCGTCTGGGGAGGAGGGTGGCTCATACCAAGTGCTGAGGCTGGGACGGCAGGGAAGGGGCTGGCAGATCTGGAAGGGAAGGCCCTGACTAAAGGGGGTGGGGCTACTCAGCTCCAAACCTACCAGGCAGTGGCAGACTGGCCCTGGTATCACTTCCTGTTTTCCAAGAGGAACTAGGAATACAGATTTTGGGTGTGGAATGAGGTGGTAATTAATAAAAATTAAAGAAAAAATTATGTGCAGGCTGACGACGGCACATCTGGCAGCCAGATATTGCCTGAAGGCCTCTTCGTTAGCACATCCGGACCAGAGGGAGAGGAACGGGGCTCAGATGGAGGGAGGCTGAAGGTGGCTTGGTAGTCCCTGTCGGGAGGGCACAGGCAGGGGGGACCAAAGCCAGGAGCACGCACACGGCAAAGAGCAGCTCGTTCAGGGTCTACAGCTCAGGGGTCCTCCAGGGTGAGGACAGCGAGCTGCAGGGAAGGCCCTACTGTGGGTGCAGCCTCCAGCCCATGGATGGCCAATGGCCACGGGCCAGGAGGGTGGCACCGCAGGTGCCCTTAGGGTCACTGATGAGGGGGTTGAGGTAGGGCAGGAGGCGGCTCAGATTTTAAAAATCCCAGTCCGGGCCTCCTCCTCAGGTCAGATTCTCGGTCCTGGGGTTCTGGGCTCCCAGGCCTGCCTGCCTGCTGCCCTAGGACCCCATCGGGAGCCTGTAGCACCTCACACCCTGCTGAGGAGATTCATTTCACCCTCCCTCGTCATCAGGTTTTTCCTCCTCTTCTTGGTCCTGGCCCCTCTCCCCTATCTCCAGCCTCTCCCAGCCCCAAACACCAGGGGCTCACCGTGGGCCCTGGGGACCAGACCTCTACTCGGTCTGGCCCATCAGCTCGCTTTCAGAGCCCGCCTAGGCCTCTCCTGACTTCACACAAAGGCCCTGAGCACATTTTTCCTAGGCGTCTGGGGAGGAGGGTGGCTCATACCAAGTGCTGAGGCTGGGACGGCAGGGAAGGGGCTGGCAGATCTGGAAGGGAAGGCCCCGACTAAAGGGGGT